GCAATGCCCCATCCCTTGGCTCGGCAATGCCCCATCCCTTGGCTCGGTGAGCTCCCTGGCGTGGCTGGGAAGCGGGCAGTGCCCATGGTCCCCGAGCTGGGGTTTGGCAATGCGGCTCCTGTTTGCTCAAGCGCTTGGTACTCGCAGATCAAAGGGCTCCCTCCGCATGAGCGGCCGCGGCCCAGCCCAGCTCTGCTCACGTTCCATCTCCCGAGGCTGCCTGTGCCTCCCTGAGGGTCCCAGGGCTGCCTGGGGGGAGGTGTGTGACCCACGAGGTCCCAGCTGTGTTACCTCACCGGGGTGGCATGTGTGCTCGTGCTCGGCTGGGTGGGTCTCCGGGAGGCCGTCCCTCCCTGCTGGGAGCYGTGGCACTGCTAATCCCAGAGCAGAGCTGCAGCCCTTGCTCCACCTAAGCTGCTCCCTGATGAATGAGCAGGGGGAACCAAGGGGATCAGCATGTGGGTCAGGTGCTCTGACAGCCCTGGTGCTGCCAGGTGACTCGTGGGGACCTGCGGAGGTTCCTGCTGTCCCTAGAGGTCAGCAGGGCTAACGAGGCTGCGTGTCCCTCCCCAGCATGTCCAGCTCTGAAGCAAAGGAGCACCTGGCACGTGGACAGCTGGGGAATGGTTGGGTTTGTGTGTTGCTGTGACTGCAAGGCCACCAACTAGTTCACTTTCACAGCTGTGGGAAGAAACCATCCATRAGCCCCAGGGCTCTGGCAAGAGCAGGCACTGCAACCCAGCACGGGCTAGGGAAACAAGGTGGGAACAGTGTTCTCAGTCCAAGCAGGTGCATCTTTCTCCTGGGGAGAGCCTGGGAGGCAGACACAGATCCACTGGCAGGTGTGGACATAGGTTACTGTACAAAGGGTCCACTGAAGCTTCTGTTGTTTTGGACAGGCAAAGCTGGCGGGGGAGCGTGGAGCCCGTGCGATCCTTTTCGACATCACTGATGATGAAAGTGCTGCTGATCAGGTATGGACCCCAGTGATGCCCTCAGCTAAAACACAGTGCTCCTGTCCCATCCTGAAATGTGCTCAGGGCAGGGCTCCCAGCCACCACTGGGAATTCCCAGGAGGATGCTGCGGGTGTTGGCTTTTGGCTCTCACCCACACACAGACRCTCTCCATGGCACGCCCATGAAGATATATTGAGCTTTTGTGCCAGGAACAGGATGCTTCCTCTTGGGAAGTCACAGATTTCCCYATCCCATTTAGTCCAGACAGCCAGGTGTAACTCAGGGGAAAGGTGATTTCTCAAGTTTTCAAGCCAAAGTCACAGCCCCCTGCTTGCTGTTGGTGCAGGTTTAGACACCTCCAGAGTTCCCTTTGGCCAGCACTGCTGTCGTCTCTGGAAGGGAATCATTTCCCCACCCACATAATCCAGGGATATGAAAAGCATYCAGCTTTAGGTAGAGAACAGACCAGGGAGCTGGTGCCTGAGCTTATCCAGACTCTGGKCTGACTCCTTCCTGGATCCAGCCCTTGTGGCTCTTCCATGCACTTATAACCTAATTTCTGGTGCTAGAGAAACACAGCAGCAAATGCAGGTCCATGAGATGATGCCAAGGTTGCCCAGATCCCAGACTCTGATCCCYACCCTGAGCCTCAGCTCCCACTTTGGCACACCAAAGCCAAGAGTGTYAAATCCTATCAACAATTCAGAGCCTTCAGCATTGCCTCCATGGTTTTCCTGACCATCTGCATCTCCATTCACATCTCCATCTCTGTCCACCCACCTCTGGATTCCCCCAGGTATCTGCCCAAGGTGTGGGAAGGGCTCAGTGGGTCCGATGGCCCCCCTGATCCAGGTCAGTCTGGAGGAGAGCAGACACTTGGGTGGCTCGGACACTTGCTGAGCCAGCCTGTGCCAGGCTGCCTGGGCCACGGTGGAAAACTGCTGGTGTGACCAGCAGCAATCCGAATGTCCTTGGGGAGGAGGGGAACTGGGTGGYTCCAGAGCAGAGGAAGCATTTCTGTGGTGGGGGCAGCACTCAGCTGTGCTGTTGGCACTTCCCACAGGGAAGAGGAGAGACCGAGAGCTGCTGCACAGGGGCTTGAAAGGAGCTCAAGAGACACCAAGCAGTGTCCAGTTGTGCAGGAAAATGAAGAAATCCATGCTGGAAAATTGGTAAAAGAGAGGCTTCCATCTGATTCATGATAGAGGCATAGTGTAAATTTGGGGGTGCAGTCAGTCTCTGAAGTGTTGCAAGAAGCMTGGTGAAGAGCAAAAGTGCTTGGGGTCTGCCACCATCCTTGTTTCAGGCTGTTCTAGATCAGCTCTCATGGTGTTTGTTTCTTTGCAGCTGAGGAAGCCCAGAGGCCTGAGCCAGCCTGTGGTCCTCATCAGGGGCCACGATGCTGAGCTCCTCATGGGCGTCGTGAACAAGAACAGAGAGGCCCATGTGAAAATAGAGGTCAAGGAGCCACCAGCTTGGGTGAGAGTCACACCATTCCCACTGCCTCCTGTATTTCCCCTCCCAACCTGCTGGGCTTTCCYAGAGAGGCTGAGCTTTTCTCCTCAGGCATGGAGATCATGGCCCATTGCAGGAGTTATCTGTAACATTCACACCTGCTTCAAGTAAGGGCTCTAAAGCTTTCAGCTTATTTAGTTTCCTTTGCTTTAACTTCTCTTCAAATAAGACCAAGCCTTGATTTTCTCTTATTRTGCTATCTTAGACCATGATCTCAAGGGAGCTGAGCTACTGCAGGACAGAGATACTGCATTCTYTGTGGGATGTGCTGAAAAGACTGACCCCTCTTTTCTTTTACCTGTAAAGAGCAAAGAAGAGGAGCATGGCCAAGGATCATCTTTTCCAAGGCTGATGGTCCAGAAGAGATTGAGATTACCCTACCTAGACTAATTCCCACCCATGCCTAGCCTCTAATTCCCACCAAGAGTAATTTCTGTCCTGTTTTATCCAACAGCCAGACTACGATGTGTGGATTCTTCTCACAGTGGTCAGCACTGTGGTCGTCATCATTTTGATTTTTGTTGTCCGCACAAAATGCCAGCTGAACAGGAATCAGGTAGGGATCTCCTGGAGCAGACATGCTGAGCTAACAGGAATGCAGGATAAGCAGGAACGGACACTATTTGGGAGGGGAAAGGGGCAGATAGTGATAGGACAAGGGAAAATGGATTTAGAGAAGAGATTTAGATTGGCTGTAGGAAGGAATTGTTCCCTGGCAGAGTGGGGAGACCCTGGCACAGGGTACCCAGAAAAGCTGTGGCTGCCCCTGGATCCCTGGCAGTGTCCAAGGCCAGGCTGGATGGGGATTGGGGCAACCTGGGATGGTGGAAGGTGTCCCTGCCCATGGCAGGGAAATGTAGTATAAGACCCCTTCTGRTCCAAACTGTTCCAGGATTCTGTGATTGTATGATTTAGTATTCTCAATAGAAATTAACCAATTAAATAATTGTCTTTCCAGAGTCAGATGTATTTCCAAGTTTGAGAATACCCCATTTGTCTTGTAGAGAGAGACAATCCTTTGAGGTCAAAAACTCAGCACTGCGAGTGATTTTGAATGTTCAGGGCCATRTGTCTCCTGCTGGTGAAAAAGCCTACTCTGGCCAAGTCAGTTTAGACAGAAAGTCAYCTCTGCAAATGACTATTGTCCCCAAATTCCTGATAATCCACTTTGAAGATGGGAGGGCAGAGTAAGGCTGAAGCTCTCCTCAAGCCCCTTCCATCTCCACAGGACTCGGTGCAGCAGCAGACCCTGCAGGCCATCGGGCAGTTGGCCACACGGCGCTACCAGCCCCGGGCCAGGCCAGCCCCRCGCTGGGACTCTGCCAGCAGCTGCAGCTCCGCCCCGGTCTGTGCCATCTGCCTCGAGGAGTTCAGCGAGGGCCAGGTACGGTCAGAGCGGGCAGGSTTGGGGCAGGCATGATTGGGGCAGGTATGGTCGGGGTCGTATGGTCAGGGTGGATATGGTTGGGGCAGGTAGGGTTGAGGCAGGCAGGGCTGCTGGCAGTCATGCCCTGGCTTCTCGGGCCACTGGGCCAGCAGTGGGAGCTGAGCATGGCAGGAGCTGGAGGCCCATGGGACACTTCTGTCTGAACTCCTGAGTGCTGGAAAGGGACTGCGTCCATGGAGGTGTGCCTGTCTCTGGGTTATAAAGCCTCTGCTGAAGTTGTGTCTCCAGGCAGGTTTCCAGCTATGGCTGTGGGGTAGAATGCCCGTAAAATGCCCATKTTGAAACAATGGGACAAAAGTGGGGTTTGCTGCTCTAGAGCACCCAGCCTTAAATCTCCATATCCCAAGGGCTTGCACCTCTCTGAATGTTCACAGAACATAACCAGAGGTGCTCCACAGCCTCCTCCATGCACTTTTGGGCTGCAGATCCCTCACTGTTGGACCTCTGTCCATCCTTCAAAGCTCACTTCCATCAAGAAGGACCCATCCAGGTCTTTGGAACATGGTTCTCCTTGCTCATCCTCCTCCTCTCCACTTCCCTCTAGGAACTGCGGATCATCTCRTGCACCCACGAGTTCCATCGGGAGTGTGTTGACCCTTGGCTGCAGCAACACCACACGTGTCCACTTTGCATGTTCAATATTCTTGGTAAGGCTCAGACACAGCATTTCCTGGTTGGGGATGCAGTTCAGTGCAGGGTTGTGCCCAGGAGCTCCAGGTACCCTTGGAAGATGGATCAGCAGTTCCTTGTGTCCGTGTGCACAGAGTGGACAGGGCAGTGTGTGCATGGAGAGGGGTCCATTGCCTGTGAGCTCCCCGGGGTACAGCGAGGTGCTGGGCTTGGGTTGGGACCTACACCAAGAGGAGGGATTCCAGTCCTTCCTGTGGGGAAGGGAAGGTGGGATCTGGGGTCAGGGCAGCAAGGAGAACACTGAGTGTGCAGCACCATCAGGGTRGTTTGGTGGTGGCAGCAAGGAGTTGCAGGGCATGGGTGGGATGTGGGGCCATGGTGGAAGGGCAGTGCAGCATCAGTGCCAGGGTTGCCTCAGCTGGGCTGTGGGACATGTGCTGGTTACTCCCTTCTCTCTCCACAGCCAGAGACTCAGGGGACCAGGCCGTGGCTGCCAGCTCCAGGCTGGTCCCTCAGGACATGGAGCCTGGACGGCGACTCCACCTTTTCCGCCAGCATCCAGGACATGCCCTTTACCACCTCCCACATGCGTATCCTCAGAGGAACCTCAGGAGCTTTCCCCCGGAGCCAGCCCATGGCAACCCCTTCTTCCACTCTCCAGAGCTCTCCCAGGTGGATTTTGGCACCATCCACTATGTGCCCTACAGAGCAGCTACCTCCCTGCTGGCCTGTGGCCACACGGCCCCACTGGCCSCGGGCTTGCTGGGGCAGCAGCACACCAACCCCTCTGCGTGCGGGCAGGTGCTGCCACCCCACAGGACGTGTCTCCTGCAGCCCCAGCCCCCCTGCCTGGCGCCCAAGGCAGCCCTGGCGCAGAAGCAGCACCGTGCACCCGCCCCGCGCCGGGGGCTCAGCCACGGGCACCAGCACAACAGCAGTGGCTCCGGGGAGAGCTACCTCACGGAGCACAGCGGCTACCTGGCCGATGGGCCGGGCAGTGACTCCAGCTCGGGGCCCTGCCACGGCTCCTCCAGTGACTCCATGTTGAACTGCACGGATATCAGCCTGCAGGGCATCCATGGCAGCTGCTCCACCTTCCGCAGCTCCCTCAGCAGCGACTACGATCCCTTCGTGTACTGCAGCTCCGAGGGCCCCGCCACAGACCACGGCCAGGAGCAGCTGCGGCCACCCAGGGAGAGGCGGCCCCGCTCCTTGGACCTGATGGTGCCYGGGGGGGCTGCTCCGGCCAAGCCCCAGGTGCTCAGCCACGTCCACTACCACCACCACCAGCACCACCACTACAGACGGGATGTGGAGTGTGCCCCTGGGCGGGCTGGGCAGGGGCAGGGGCCGGGGCCACGCAAATCCCGGTACTCCGGGGCCAAGGTTGCCTTCCACAGTGCTCGGACACAAAAGAGGACTGAGAAAAGCCACCACTSTCAGCAGCCTCTGGAAAGCAGCGCCATGCTGCAGGAGGCAGCTCTGGCAGGACAGCCAGCCTGTCCACAGGAAGGCCGGGAGCCCCCTCACGCCCCCTCCACTTCTCCAAACAGGCTGGACTTCAGTGTAGATGCCAACAGACAATCGGGAGCAGCTGGCACACCCCCTRTCCCTCTGCCCCCCAGACACAGCTTACAGAGCCGGCATCACCGAAGGAAAAGAAAGTGTCCCCTGGAGCCCGACCTTGTTCTCCTGCCCAAGGACTCGGCCGAGTCCAGMGCCTGTGACGCTCACCTTCCTCCCGGCCATCCCGCTGGCTACCACTGCTCTCCCGAAGTGCAGCCCCTGATCCCAAGCGCTCCCTTGCCCAGCGGCTCCCGGCCGCTCTGGAARTGTTTAGTGCCACTGTCCAGCTCCGAGCTGAGGAAGCAGGAGGAGGGGTTGTCAGGACGGGAGGGAAACCACTCAGTTCCTGCAGATTTCTCAGGGACAGACACCCCCAGACACAGTCTGAGTGTCCACCTTCACTACCCATCTCAGCAGGGTGGTCAGGGTAAGTGTGGCCTTCGCTTCTCCTGGCAGGTGAATGAGGGGGGTTTGCTGAAGGAACTGTGGCTGTCAGAACACCTGGTACCTTCCTGATGGGCTTTCCTACCAGACCACTGACTGCAGGAGCATTCCAGAGCTCACCTGTGAGGGTGATGGCCTGAACGATGAGCAAGTGTGTTAAAGAGTGCACCAAACCCTAAAGTACYGCAACTGAGAAATAAGGTGGTTCATTTTAACTAAACATCTCTAGCAGCTGGGATCTCTCCCAAAGGGAGGGGTGGGACCATGTTTCTCAGTGTCCTTGCACCAGTCTGGGTGTGTCAGTGGCAGTTGTTATCGTTAAGGCTTTTTGGGCTCCAGTTGTTTTAGCCAAGCCCAGCTAACTGGAATCAGTGAGGAAGGAAGCGTGTGTGGCCAGGAGTAGTAGAACAGACTAAATGAGCTGCTGGATTTGCACATCCCTCATTTCTCACCTGCCTCTGTTGCGTGGGAGTTGCTTTTTAGTGTCTTTTGGAAATCAGATGTAATTAAAGTTTGGCCCTTTGCCTAACTGCTGCACATCTCTCACAAAGAGAGGGAAAATGCCTTTGACACTGAGGCTCTTTGAAAGAACCTGAGTTTAGCTCCCAGATGTTGCTCTCTCAGGTCCTCTGAAGTCAGCAACCTGCGAGTCAGCAGGGGCTGGCTGGGAGCAGAGCCTGGCTTCCTTCCTCGCCCTGCCACTGACTCATTGCAGGTCCTCGGGCAAATCCTTTTGATTTAGGTACCAAACACAGATCTGTCTGTCTAATTTCTGTTAAAACACCGGCCTTAAACTCGTGACTCACCGTGCCCATTGTGCCGCAGAGATAATAACTTCCTCCCGGTGCTATTCAGCCCCACCCCACACCCAGGCTCCCAGTGCTGCAGAGGCAGCGGGGCAGGGGAGGCTGGATGGGCACAGACCTGGCTTCCCGCAGCCCTCCAACCTCCCAGACTCCCAGGAACAGATAYTTTTCCCAAGTGCAGGAGTGTCTAACACTGCAGATGGGTGATAGGAAAGTTCTTCCRAGGYYTGGAGGGATGCTCATGGKGTTMGGAGAGATAAAGAGGCATCAGGGCRGAGRTGTCACTRGCTGCAGGRAGCTCTGAGTGCTGATGCCCTCCCAGGGTACCCCACATGGAGAGAGCCCTCCTGGCTCGGGGCAGGCTGCTCAGGGCTTGCTTTGAGCTCCCAAATGAACCTGGGAGAGCTCCAAGAGCAGGAGTCTGTGCACAGAGTGCTGGGCATTGCAAGGTCTGTACTGGGATGCTTCTGTCTCTTTGGAAATGGTCCCAGTGGCCACAGTCTGTGCCCACCCAGAGCCAGTGCCAGCTGCTTTGCCAAGCACACCAAGCCTTCATTCTCTCTTCCCATTCCAGCWGTCAGAAGGACCAATGTATCTGAAAGTTCTGTGGATCTGTGTCTGTTTAGTGCAGGAGCTTCAGTGGATGCTTTCAGGGCCAACCAATGAATCAGAATTGCCTTGCAAGATTGAGAGAATACATAGATTTAGGATTTAACTTTATTAGAAGCAGAGGACAGAACAGAGAGCTTGTGCAGGGCTTATGCAGAAAAGCCACCAAGCTGAAAACACATTGGCTGACATAACACAACCTCTGAGTTATAATCACATTGGTTCTTTATCTTGGGAAAGGTATAACTCAATAGAGAACAAGTAAAAAAGAGCAAAGAACAATCTCAATGGACAGTCCCATGCAAGCAGGACACAAGACACAGACAAGGAGACYAAGGAAAAATGCATCTCTGCCTCCAGATAAATGGCATAAGGCTAAAAATATAAGTGGATGAATTAGAAAGCCCAGCYTTAAATTAAAGTTTTGACATAAACTTTTCAGAAACGCAGTTTAAAAGAAAAGCAAACAGTGGGACYCTGTAATTCCTAGATGAAATTACAGAGAGGAGAAGTGTGTCTCTTCTGGTGGCATGGGAGGGACACTGCACTAAGGAGAGTGTAAAGTCCAATGACAAGTGACACAAAAATCCCCAACTGCCTCTAAGTAGGAGGGTGGCATTAGGGTTATAACACTGCGTCAGAACAGGCTGCAAAGAGGAGCCTACGTACACAGGAGAGTCTCATGAGAGTATTGCTAAAAGCAGCAGTTACTAAGAYGCTTTTGGGCACAGGAATCATTTACAGCCCCAGAAAAGGGCTGGCCAAGCAGAAGGACAAGGGAGGGCACTTGGAAGTCTTTCTTCYAAAGCCAAGGTGTGGCTGGAGAAGGGAATCAGAACAGAGCTTGATGCCAAATGAAGTGCAGAGCATGGAGAGGCAGCCAGGGAATATTTCTGAGAACAGCTTGTGAAAAACAAGACTACTAATGCAAACATTTTCAGCTCCATCAGAAGGGAGAAAGCTGTCTGGAGCTCTGCAGATCCAGGGAGTAACATGGATCTGAGGGATGTTCAMGGGCTGTAAATGCAGAGCAGAAGAGCAAACTGACTTAATTGTATTCGCGATCAGCATGGGAGTGTTGGGGAGGCTCTCACCTGACACAGCTCTGTTCAAGGCGGGGAGGGGCAMGATCCCTCATGAATCAAATCACCAGTTTGAGCACTTTTGAAATACACTGGAGAGTAACAAATTGCCACGGGTACAGATCACCCACTGGGCATCCTGCAGGGCTCAAGCACAAAGCTGATAAATCCTGAACATGGACTGTGATCTCTTATCCATGCCCAGAGCTGGGAGGAAGAGCTGAGAGCAATATCAGCTGGAAATAGCTGAAGCCACAGAATGGTGAGCCTGACTTTCCAGCCAAGCAAATTGTTAAAAATTCAAATGCAGAGTCTGACTTGTGTAGGCACATGGCTGAATGTGAAACCAGGGAGGAGGAGGCAACCCAGCTTTTGTAGGGAGAGATAATACCTGGCAGATCTTCTAGGGGAAGGAAGCTCTGAAAGGATAAAAGGGAAGGTGCTCTCACAGGTAAATAACTCWCTGAAAAATAGGAGACAGAGTGCAAATCAGACATAATGGAGGGAGATTACTCCAAGAAGGAGAAAAGTGGAGTTCTCCAACTGTCTGCACCTTYCAGCAAGCTCATAAATATCCTGGACAAGGAGAGGACATAGCAAAATGTATAACATATAAAATCCATCAGGATGCCAACATTAAAACTGGATACAGAGWGTTGCAAGAGGATCTCCTGCTGCTGAGCTATCGGTTGAGAGAGTGGTGGGTAAAATACCTTGTAAGTTGCACAAAATGCCACATACAAGCAGAGACACTTCCAAGTGAAAATCACAACATTATTATTACTATTATTACTATTATTACTATTATTACTATTATTACTATTATTATTACTATTACTATATTTTTTGTTATTTATTATTATTATTATTAGCTGGCTGGGAACTATGTGGGACAGGCAGAAAGTGCCTCTATGCAGCTGTGTAAGCCTGTGGTGATCACACAGCTTCTGAACACCAAAAAGGGTGGAAAAAGAAAAGGGAAATCAGGCTTGGGAGAAGGGAAAAAGGTACCTGGTACAATCCCAGCAATAGGTTTTTCTGAGAAAACAGAAAGAATAGTGAGACTTTCATGTGGGAAAAAAGTGATTAGCAGAGAATATGAAAGAGAGGATATGAAAGAGAGGATATGAAATTAGGAGAGCAGAGGAGAAGGCAGATAAGAGAGTACTTAGAACAAAGTAAGTGATGGCATCAAACGGGAATCAGAAGCTTTAAAACACCCAAAAGGCAACACATGGTGCGTAGTGAAACTGGTGCTGGTTGCCCAGGGGATATAGATGCCAGAAGTAAAATGGTTTTGAAAGCCCAGATCAAGAGGTAGCAAATGCAGAGATGCAAATCCACCCTCCGGCTCAGGAAGTCCCTAAACCAGGGCATCCAGAAGCTGCTGGTGCTCCTGTGGGATGCTGCACCCTCCAGGTGTGTGCTTACCTCRCCCAACTCCCAGGTGAGGCTGAATCTTGGTCCACAGCCCCTGGAGAAATTCCACTTGTGCACGCAGTGCCATGCACTGGCATCCTAGGGAATAACGCTGTGGCTGATCCCAAAGAGCCTTGCATAACCTTGTAGTTTATGCCTCCTCCTTGAGAACCTCCACCAGTCTTTTTGGGGGCTTTGCGTGAAGGTGCATCCCTAACTCTTGTCTTGCCTGGGAGAGACCACACCTGGGAGTCATGTCCTGGGGAATCAATCCTGGAGCGATGCTGAATGGATCCTCTTAAGGGAAGTCAGGCAACTGGCAGTGAGTTCCAGCTGGATGGCTTCCTGAACCGCCCCGGCACGCCCGGAAAGCATCTCAGAACAGCCAGATTACTCCAGCACAGGCTGATGAAATCTCGTGATTTCTCTCCCTGGGAAATCTCACCTCCTGCAGTGCTCTCGGCATCCTCCTCCTCTCTTCCCTCCTGCTCATCCTGAGTCCCTTTCATGTCACGTCTTTGATCTTTACTAGGGAGGGGGAAAGGGATTAGAGGGCAGGAAAAGACCACCCTTAAATCCTAACACCCAAAGAACACCATTTCTGTGGTGTCATCAAGGTGTGCTCCAGGTCATTGTCCAGCCGAACTTCTCCCACCTCTTCCAGTTCATGACCTTTTTTTAGCACAAGCAGGGGGCACATGCATCCACAGCTTTCAGAAAATCTTTTAGTAATGTTATTTGAGACTGAAGGCATCTGAATACAGAAGGATTGAAGCTGGACAGTGCTTTTGGGTTGCACGTAAGCTGGTGTCAAGGGAAGCAGTTGGAAATGGCTTATTCCACATACTTGTGATTCAAGTCACAAATGCAAAATCTGCTTAAACTCTGCCTTCAGGTGCTATGGCCATGCCTGCACGTGTGTGTACGTGTGTAACACCATGTGCATCATTCATTTTCCCACATGGATTAGCTACATTTTTCCAAGCAGAATCTCATTTYTTTTCTTCCCACATACTTAATTTTCAAGGCTCTGCTCCTACAGCTGGTGATATATAGCCAACAAGAATTTGTTGTGACTCTTCAGAAAGTTGTTTTAAGTTATCCTCTATGAATCTCTACGCGGGCATTTCTTTCCTTTGATCTCAGGAATATTCAGGAAAAGGGAAGTAGGAAAAATAATGCCTATATGCCTTTGCTGGGCTAAGCTGACCTTGTGTAAGAGCTCTGGACAGGCTTGAGAGATATCAGGGGAGGGACCGTGGTGTGTGACAATGGGCAGTGACTTAGAGAGAAAGAGGCTATCTGGAGCAGTGCCTCAGGTGCACTTTTAGGCAGCCCTTTTGTTGGATGGTTCCAGGTAAACTGCTCAGCACCTGCCTGTCAATAATTCTGCAGGTGGAAGGGGCTGGGGAAGAGCCTGAGCCTGAGCTGGACTCAGAAGCAATTTGTGCAATCTCTCAAACACCATGGAAYGTGTCATTTCTGTCTTGCATCACTGCTCTCTGCTATTATTGCCTGGAGTTTCTGTTGCACCCTGGCTCTGTGATCTATGAATTGGTGTTACTTTCTGTTCCTGATAATTTTTCAATCAGCTGTACAGATTTTCTCAAAGAGCAAACATCAGAAAGCCTCAAAAGCAAACTCCTAGTAGTGATGTGGACCCTGGRGTGCCCCTAGCCTGCCTCTTCTGAACTGTTTAAGGAGTATCTTGATGTCTTATCTTTAGATTTTATTGTACTTTACCTTAGAGGAATAAACTGATTGGGAGTTGGCCAGAAAACTACCTCTGAAAAACTGGGGGAAACTTCAAAGAATCATGGACTGTCCTGAGTTGAAAGGGACCCACAAGGATCATCAAGTCCAGTCCCTGGCCCTGCACAGACCCCCCAACAATCCCACCCTGTGTACCCCTGAGAGCATTGTCCAAATGCTCCTGGAGCCCTGGMAGCCTYGGGGCTGTGASCATTCCCTGGGGAGCCTGGRCAGTGGCTTAGTGGCTTTTTTAGTAGCTTACATGTAGTGGCTCTCCCTGCAGCATCTGTTCTCTGGATTGCAGGGTCAAGGCCCTAGCAGCTGCAGAGCCTGGGAATGTTCAGCCAGGTGTAGCTGACACTTTTCTTTTTCCCTTTCTTTGAGTGCAGGATCTGAAGAGGAGGTCCAGGATGTCCACGAACACTCAGTTTAATGAAACACTGGCCTGTCTGCTCGCTGGGAGCTGGAATGGACACAGATGTTCATGGAGCTGCTCACATCTGGCTCTGCCCAGCCCTGCCCYGCTGAGACACGGACTGCCAAGAGCAGTGGGACGCTTGTGGTCTCCGCACACRTCCCCACGCCCTGATGGCCACACAGACACAGAGCCCTGCTCTCCGGGCCCCGTCTCCTCCCAAGGCACAGGCAGCCCATCGTCATCCCATGGCATCGCTCCGAGCYGGGCAGGGCTCCCAGGGAGAGCTCACCGAGTGAGTGCAAGCTGCTATTTTGGCATGTTCATGCCACAGAAGGTTTTGCTAAACACTGCAAAAATAAACAAGCCTTCGAGACCAAAAGCTGCAGAAATTACTTTCTGTGGCCTGGTAGCTCCTGACTTCATTTCCTCACTTAGGTCAAAAGCCAGACTTCTTCAATTAACTTTTCCATGCTTATTTCAGACACAGGAACAAGCTATTCTCCATCTCACTGCTCACAGGGCTGCCCTGCGAGGTGCTGCTTCTGACTTCAGTGGAAACCAAGAGCTCTCATCACTTTTGGTCACCTCACTGTCCCTCAACTGACGCCGTCTTGGCCACTGGCTGTGTTTGCCAGCAGCAGGAGAGGGGAAGACACAGGGACAACATCAGCATTTCTGGGAAGGAGCTGGGTCAGACTCTTTCCATTGCAGAGAATCCACCCTCTCATCTGGCAATGTGAACAAGTCTCTCACTCACACTAATTCCTCCACCTACCCTCAAATAGCTGTCATGGCCAGCCCTGTTAAGAGCATATTTCAGACATATCTCAGATGTCCCTATCAGAGGGAGTCATGGGAAATCCTGGAGTTCTCTCCTTCCTCTCATTGCTCCAAGACACAGCAAAAATTCCCAGCAAAGTCTTCATAGTAAATACAGAGCAGAGCCCCATCCATCACCCAGATTTAACTTCATATTTCTGAGACTCCTGAAATGATCCTTCAAAAGGATTTTTCAGTCTTTTTCAACATTTTGATGATGCAGGGAGAAAACTTGAGAAATCATCAGGCTCTGGTTTATTCCTCCCCCCCCCCCCCCTTGTGTGTATTTTGGATTTTTTCTGAATGTCAGGGAGCTCTCACCCCCTGAATGTCACTAGTTCTTATTTCCTACATCTCATAATCTGCAGACATTCAAGTGAAATAAAACCTGCCAAATTCAAAACATGTAGAACTCAGGCAGCTTTCAAACAGCAGAAAATTCCTGTCAGGTTCATTGCCCTAAATGATCAGTCAGGCCAAAGAATCAGCCAGATTCCCACGTGAAGAGCACCRAGTGCTTCCAAGCACAAGGAGGCATTGGTGAGGATACAACATTGGAACTGAAGGTAACTCCTAACAATTTGAAACTTGATGTAGGGACAGACTTCCCCATCTACTCAGTAAAGCTTCCTATGTCTGCCTTTGAAGCAGCAGCTTCTCAAGAGAGTGCTCTGGTGATGCAATCCCAGTTCAGGATAATCCTCTGCCTTCCTTTGTTGCTGGGAAAGCTTTTTACAGGGTTTGCTGCACTTAATCCTTGAAAAAGGCATCTTTGTCCCAACTGCTAATCAGTCCCTGACAGTCAAGTGATCAGCAAATAGCACTGTTTTAGACCCAACATTACTCCCTTGTAGTGCTCATTCCTTGTCTCCTGTGACCAGGCCCCTGTGGGACTTTTCAGTCTGGGGAAGAGCTGAGTTTCTTTCATCAAAGAACCCAGCAGAATTTCATTTAGACCTCTCAGGCTCTTGCTTGTCCTACAGCGCAGGCAGAACACAATTTCAAATGTTTTCTCCCTTGCAGGGAAGTCAATCTTAAACTAGAGGAAAAAGCCAGGGGCGTATCTGGATCGGCTTCTTGTGCACCTGGTCTGTGGCTTGTCTGAACCAGCTCCTCACATCCTTGACCACCGTGGAGGGCTCAGAGATYTTACAGAGGGGAGGGTCGTGAAGTTGGGATGCTCCCACTGCCTTCTTTAGGAATCAGGAAGGGTGAGCTCCTCCAGGGATGCATTTCATTGCTCAAAGGAACAAGTGCAGTTCTAAAGTCCTCCTCTCTTTCCCTCTTTATTCCTGACAAAAGAGGAGATTCCTGATTTTGTGAGCCGCAAGCTTCTTGCACAAGTACTCGTRCACCCTCTCCACTCCCCACTGCAGTATTACCAGGCTGCCAGGGCAATGCCTGCTTCCAAGTGTCTCCTTTCTCCTGACCTTACACTGCTGCTCCTTTTCACATAGAAAATGCTGGATTCTGTCCCGCTCCACCGGGACTTGGGGACCTGAGAGTGCAGGTCTGTCTSTGTGAGGGCATGGGGGGAGGAGAGGGAGGAACTCGGGGAAAGTGGATTTAAGATCCTCTTCAGTAGACGGATGACTATCCTTGACTGCCTGGAGGGAAGAAGCAGTATCTGAGAAAAAAGGAACGGTTCCTCACAGTTCCTCACAGTTCCTTTATCTCTGGCTTCTGGGTAATGCTTTCGAGTGCTCAGTGCTTGTGGCTCCATCATAGAATTTCTTCGGCATCCTAGCAWTGATGCAGAGCACATTTTCCTTCCTTGCATCCAAAGTCACCGCTGAAAACTATTGGAAGCTAGAGCATCCAGAGCACCCTCTATCCAAACTGAAGGCCCAGCCTTTCCCCAGGGACCTCCTTTCCAGGAGCTCTCACCCCCTGAACTGGGCATGTGGTTGGGCTGGCTGGACACCTCCCCTTCTGCACAGATCCTTCAGATCCTTTGGAAATGTGAATATAGGTTCGTTTTGTTGTTATTGCCTTTTGTTTCATTTGTTTTTTTTT